GGTGAAGAGTGCTCAATGGAGCCCAGAACCACGAATTCATGGTAATGCGACCGAGTGTTAGCATTGGACGCTGAAAGAATAGCTGTAGGCCATGCCAGTGTGTGTCCGAGTCATTATATCAGTTGGTGTGGACGATGGGACGCATAGTACTTACCCGTGTTCTCTGGACCAATCCACCATCCCGGTGCTCCAGACCCCGATGTATTCCAGTCAGCCCGCACTTGGCTGACAGGTCTATCGTCAAACTTGCCCATGACGGCGATGATACGGGATGCTTCCCAAAAGTGCCACAGCACCACATAGATGTCGATGTCGATAGGAGGAACGAATCCATATGATTTGAGGACATAGTATCTGAGGAGTTCGAGGACAATTTCGAGCAGGAGGCACCATCAAGCACATGTCAGCAGGAACAACCTCCAGTCCAAGCTATCGAAGAGAGCGATAAAGCTATCTTCGCTGCCCCTCTAGTCTCCAAATGACTGGGGAATAGACGGATCATGATTTCCTGGAGGTATGTAATGCAGATGATAGGGGATGGAGACTAGATTGTTTCTGAGAAAAGAGCGGTGGAGGTTAGTGACAGCCTTAGCGCCATGTTCTATCGAAGAAAAACATCAATGCCATGTACCAAAAAGAATAGCTCGTCCGTAGTCCTGAGGTCTACTCACTGTAGTCATCAGTGTAAAACATAAATTGCTCCACGATTGGGAAGGAGAAGAGGTCTCCGAAGAGGAGATTGAATGGTTCTGGATCGATCAGAGGTGACACCGCTGCCTTTCGGTCAATAACCATTGCGGTTATGGAGACATTGGGATGATGTTCCATGGCCTCACCGAAGTTGAGGAGAAGATTACCGACCACCTCTTCAATGCCATTCATTCAGGCATGGCGTTTGGTATTCAAAAAAACTCGTGGCAAGGCGCCTTCAATGATGGCCTTAGCGGTGAGCACATTTGTGAAGGCTCGGAGTTGGAAGAAGAAAAATGAGCATGATGGTGCTGGATCTACACCGGTTTGTCCACTTCAATTATCTCCAAGAAGTCTATCCGCCAGTCGACATGGCAGCTCACGCATCATCACCGCTAGGTTGCTTGACTCGTTGTCCCCCTTGTCCCCCTCCCGTTCACCCACCGTGCCGGAAGTGGTATTACCGCTGAGCGTTCCAGTTGCCACGCCTATTTTAGCACATGGGACTGCAAGATCAAACTCTGCGTGAGTCCCCACCATTTCTATCTACAAATGGCTAATATTTAAGGTTTTCATTGACTTGATCTATGTTTCATATAATAGTACCACAACCATCATTTGGAAACTTCTCTGTGACAAATGCTTGCACTCAGACGTCATCAAATTGGCGGTGGCAGCCACTGCTCGGGATATTTGAGACTACCGACTCCATGCTCATTCTATTTTCATCCTCGCTTCGCAAGCACTGTAAATACCTGACTCTCTGACTGCTGCGGATAAGTGGTTGATGTGAATCTACGTGCTGATCAAATTCTATTTGTTACGCGTGTATAAGTACAATTGGCAAAAGATACAAGTCGGGCATCTGTGTATAATTTATAACAGGACTACAGATGTTTCCTTGGGTTCAAATTTGTTAGAACAGGCAAGCGCAGGGATGTCAGGTTAGACAGCTACAAGCTGAAGTCCGAAGTTAGAAACTAGTTTATTGAGGAACTGACTGATCTACTCACCTGAAGTCCAAAGTTAGAAACTGGGGACTTCAGGTCAATCTAATCTACTATATATACTGTGCACAAGAAGGCTGTGTGCACTGGATAGATGGTAGCTAAGGAAACTGATCTGGTCAACAGGCAGTGTAGTAAGTCACCATTGTCCATCACCAAAACACTCAGCTTGCCAGGAAAAGGAGAGCAGAGGGGTAGCTTCCATGCGGGCAGAGCTGATCAGCTATACTATAAACCAAGGTAGCTGATTCGCACACTACACCGTCTCTGAGAAAGCTGCAGAATGATGATTCGGTCGTCATTGACCCCTCTACAACTATGCTTGCCATCATCCCATCTACTGTGAGCAGACCCGTAGCCAATAGTCGGTTTCCACGAATGAAGACTTGTTTTCACATCGCTCTTCTCCCCTTCTTTGCCCTGCCATGCCGCCATCCGGGTGTCTTCTCGTCTTTTGAGGTTTCATCTGTAAAACCGATCTGCTCCCACGAATACTGTGCAATACCATAGATATATGCTCCTCGTTTCTCTTCATTTCTTTCTGCAGCAATCCGTTTGAGCTTCTTCACTGTGTATCCTGCACGGGCCAATTCGCGGATTATCGTTGTGAAGTGAACGGAAATGAAACGGTTCTCGTATAGAAGATCAACCAGTTCATCCATAAACCAGTCTGGGCGGTGACGGATAAGCCGGAGGAGATAGTTGAAGTCGTCAAACATGAGCAGGTGGGGCCGTCCACGAACTCCGAAGAAGTGTTTCATGATGTCGCCCGTTTCTCTCCAGAGGTTGAGCACGCGATAAAATGTCTGCTCAGAGAATCCAACACAATCACAGATGTCTTCCAGAGTTATCAGAGATTGGCTCCAAAATCATGTTTGTCGTGGGACCCGCGACGACGTTAGCTGGAAAGCCCGTGCCTGGCAGCATGGAGTCGCCGAAATTGGATTCCAATAGTTGATGTACTATTTCGTGTACAAGCCCTTCATAGTCCCTGTCTACATCTTGACCTCCCTCCGTCATAAGCCATTGATAACATTTGTCCAACCACTCCTACACAAAAGGAAACACATGTATTAGCTCAGTAAAGTGGTCAATTTGACGACTTATAGGGTCGACGCATGGTTTTTTGAACCTATCTTCTACCCACTGGGCTACGCGTCGCGGAACAGGCATGTGAAAAATGATCGCTGGTAGATTCTCTTAACAATAGTCTTTCACTGAAGCGACACTTGGCTATATTCATAGAGATTCATAGCAGCAATCTTGAGGTCGCGACTGATACGACGGCCGGACATGATGGTCAAGTCTCAAAAATTTCTAAGTCCGTCATTTTTGAAACAAACTCAATGTTTGGTTACTGCCATCAATTATGCATTTGGCTGTAATGCATAAGGACCTTGTATCCCTGTGCTAGACAGTATCTGAGGCCGAGTTCAGAAGTTCCCATGACCGAGAAGCATGGCCACCTCATCTCCCCCTTCCTCAAACCATTGTGAGTCGTTCATTTCCTGCTTATTATTACTGTGCACTGCCAATTGGTGTCTATTCTATTCATAAGTGTAGCATCTAGTGCACTTGGCCTTTCAGAATAAGTCCTGGCGATGGTGAGTGTTATGGCTCACTTGCAATTTCTTGGACCATTGTAAGTCACTCATTATTCGTTTGCCAGCTCTGTAAGCTGACATCTGAGGCCCCCAAGAAATATGGATAGAGAATATATCGATGGAGAATATAGTCCAACGACCCAGTACCCTCAGCCATACACGGCTGCGAGCATCACCTCCCCCATTTCTATTTTTTCTAGAATCCTTGTAAGTCGTTCATTAGTCCTTTGTGACGACCCAGTACCCTTGTCCATAGACTGCGAGCACCTTGCCCCTATCCCTTTTTTTTTTTAGAACCCTGGTAAGTCATTCATTAGTAGTTCATCAGCTCTATAAACTGACATCTGGGGGCCCAAGATATATAGATGGAGTACACATTGCAAGGACCCAGTACCTTCAGCCATACACGAAACGACTGTGAGCACCATGCCCCAATTACTTGGTACCACAGGCCACAATGAATGCGAGCAGGATACTCTACTCGCCCCCCTGTTAGACCAATCACTGTATATTTATATATACCTTCTCTTGTGCCTGGCTTCCCTAAGCTTATGATGTAAGTCCATTTGGCATCTATATCGAAGGCACAGACAGCATCATGATTCTGCACCATGAGCCCAACTACAGTGAGCATGATGTCTCCCCTTCTCCTCTTGAATATTTTGCTGAAACCACCATTTGTAGACTCATCATACTTTGTCATATACAATGGAGAGTGGGTATTGTGGGTAATAGTCGACAATAATCTACCTAGTTAATAGTGTATTTCTTCGCCATCTCGACAGTCTTCTGCACAATCCCATTATAACCATCAAAATTGATCTTCCTCATTGCTGTGGTCTTGCATCTAGGTGTCATCCCTTGGATTTCTGCCTTCTCCACCCTCTCCACTACATTGTAAATGGGTATTGGATCTTGTGGATTAAAAAGAAGTCATCCAATATGCTTCGATCCAGGATCAGTGGTTTCTGTAAATAAGAGCTCTGGAGTGATCCATGTGATGCAACGACAGTATTGCTCAGCACTTTCATGTGCTAGGGCAAGGATATAGAAGAAACAATAGCCAATCTGCTTGAGCTGCACCTTTGACAAGTCTTTGACCTGAAATGCTGGTTCCAGCTACTGCTTGCTCTATGTTGTAAAGTCGTGCCAGCTGAAGTCGGTGTGCAAGGGGAAGATAGATCCTGTTGAGCTCTCGAATCACAGACTTCTCGGCTTTGTCCATCATCCACAACTTGCTGATTTTTAACAAGTTGACATATTTTTGCTCATAGAGAGCTTTGTCAACATTGATACATACCTGGAAAACCATCAATGACATCTTCTAATTCGTTGATTGTAACAGGCAGCTAGATAGGATTGGCTTTGGTTCCTTTCATAGACAATGTGATTGGCTGAGAATCAGCTCCTTCCACAGGGACTTCTTTGGGAAGTATTCCAAACATTTCTTTGAAGACCTGAGAATGCTTTGTGAGCCTGGCGACATGTATCCTGGCAATCCTATCTGATAAAATTCAAGTAATTGGAGCAAGCCTTACTCTAATTACTGTAGTCTCAGGTTGTGACAGCTGGCCCTTCAACCAGTCACATGTTACATAGCTTGGGGGTCCGAGTTAAAGGGTTTGCCCCCTACCTAGGGGTCCGGCATCAGAGGTTGTCCGGGCCACCCCTTGAAGGCTCAAAGTCATGTCCTAAGCACGGGCCGGTGGTGTAACGGTTAACACACTGATCTTTTGGAACCTTTGGAGCTGAGATCCCAAGTTCAATCCCGGGCTGGTTCATGTTTTCAATGATTTTCCGGACTGTGTCACACAGGTCCATACCAGTGTGACCCAGACTGTTAGAATTGGGTTGACTCTGGGAAAATTGGCTGGCTTAGAGGAGGTGCCTGGCTGGAAAAAGGTGGCTGGCCTGAAGGAGGAGGCTGTGAGAGCCTGGGAGCGGGTTGAGGCTACATTAAGAGGAGCACGCATCAGAACAGAACCTCGATATATTTCGTATGCGAGAGACGAGTATGAAGAGAAAGCCGTAATAGTAGTTAGAGGTAAAGATGAGTAGAGTTGACGTGTGGCCAGATATGGGCACACAAGCATAAACAACTGGATATGGTAATCGTAGGATTAAAACCCCCCCCCCTCGCCCCGGAGAAATCTGCACATGTAAGTAGAAAGGAAACAAGAGGGGAATGGGGAGATAAGTGAAAAAAAAGCTGCTCACGTGGGTGCATTAGAAACCCACACAAGGCGCCCAGGATGATATTTTGATAAAACAAAGTCTGAAAATATTGTGAAGGTGCTCTTTGTGAGGAGCCACTATGATAAGTGGACATATGATAGAGCAAATCTTGTATTTCATTGACAATCATAGTGTAGACAAATCCAGAATTCATTTTTCAACCATATGCAAGAAATTTTCATAATATTTTCACAATATGATCAGTGAAGATTTCATGAGATGTTTACAATATGGTCAGCTATTCAGAATATTTTCACCATATCTTCAACATAGTTTGAAATACCTCCCTATATTGTGAATATATTATAAAATCTTCACTGATCATATCATGAAAATATTGTGAATGTTTTTTAACATTTCTTTAGATAATAAATTCTGAATTTGTTCACACTATGATTTTCAACAAAATCCAAGTTTTGCTCTATCATATGTTCACGTATCATAGTGGTTTCTCACAAAGAGCACCTTCACAATATTTTCAGACTTTGCTTCATCAAAATAGTGTCCTGGGCATTTTGTGCCAGTGGGAAAAGCTACCGGTGCCAGGCACATGAGAGAAGGAGAACTGAACAGTCGTCCTAACCATTTCCTGCCAACCAGGAGCCGAGTGCCTCGTTTTCTTTGACGTCTTTACCGGACAGCCAGCGGTCGTGTTCTTGACCGTAACCTGTGTAGCGCACGAGATATTGGTGTCCCCTTCCATGCTATCATTGGGCAACAATCTTCTCAACCAACCACTCTTCTACACCGTTTTCCATCAGTACCGGTGGTGGTTCAGCAAATTTGCGCAACAGAAATAAGTCGTCATTTTCGCGGAAGGGAAGAAGTTCAGATGTATGAAACATAGCGAAGGTTTGAGGAGAGTTCGGCATGGATATCATCATATTAGAAGTTTTCTTGTGAATACCCATTATTTCGTAAGGCCCGTCGTAGCGCGGCATGAACTTTGCTGCATATTTTTCGTCCTTCTGTTTGAAGAGCTTTCGCCTGTTCTTTGTACTCAAGCATACACGTCCACCAATTTTGAAAGGGAATTTGGTCAAACGCGACACATTTGCCTGGGCCGCTTATTGAATCTTGGCCTGGAGCAGGTTATCGAGCGCTGTTGTGGTATCGTGTGCGGTGTGTTTGGCCAGTTCATGAGCATCCAACTCCTCAATGCATGATGATGCAGCAGGAGCAACCAAGAACGGGATCACACCGGGACATCGACCGGTACACAGGTAGAAGGGAGAGAACCCTGTTGACTTGTTAACTGTGTTCATGATATCAAAATGCACGTTTGAGCGCCGTCGACCAGCCGTGTTGGTTGTGATCTATGTGATACCATAAGCATTGGTTGATAGTTTTATTCGAGCACTTGCTAGTGCCATCGGTTTTGGGATGGAAGGCAGACGATATCTTAACCTTAACGCCAGTTAGTTTTGTCAGGTATTTCTAGAATGACCAATAATTTGTGGCGGTCAATGTTCAAGGGCAACCCCTTTTTGCAGTAGCAGTTATCGAAAAAGAGTCCACGGGCAGTCAAGTCCGTTCAGGTAGCAACAATCTGGACGATGGAATTCAGATGATCGGTTATGGAAAGGAGACAGTTGAAGCCATTTTCCTCAGGTAGCGGGCCCACGAAGTCAATGGCAACACAGTCACACCGAGTGTCTGGCACGGGTAGGGGGTGCAATGGGCCCATGAGCGATGCTGTTGTCGCTTTAAACTGTTGGCATTCCCGGAAAGCGGGAATGTAGCTAAGTTCCAGGTCCCGCCGCATCTTGGGCCAGTACGCATCGCGTAACATCACGTAAGACTTGTCGAAAGTGAAGTGGCCGAGTGCGTCGTGAGCGGCCTGAAAGATGGATTCTCTACTGTTTCCAACGCGAGGAATGACTTTCTGGTGACGCGGCAGCCATGCAGGGAAAAGCTTATCACATTCTCGAGTGGTTATCTCGTTGAGTACGTATGTATGGTCCACCAATTTTGGCAAAAAGATAGCGAGGTACCGCACAAGGCCGATGTACATGTGGCCATCTGTTGCTGTCTTCGGGCAGGGCCACGCTAATATGCGGTCCACCTTCTTTCCATCCGGCTCAATACCGTCAGTGGAAATGTGGTGGTGGAGAAAGTTGATGCTAGTGCAATAAAGATGAGCTTTGGCAGGGTTGATGTATAAGCAAGCAGCCCGTAGGGCCTCGAGTACAGCACAAATGTTGTGATGGTGTTCTTCCAAGGTATCAGACCAGATTACAATGTCATCGAGATAGACAAGGCATATCTTCCCTATTACAGCGCTTTTCATATCCATGCAGAAAAGCCAAAACAAAAAACTTGTGTGGTTTTGTTAGATCCCGAGGCTTTGCTGGACTTGGGAAGAGATTCACGTGCCAAGGCCAGGTCGACTTTTGACGCCTTGTTCTTGTTACGTCCACACCATGTCCTCCCCAGCCACCGAAACTTCTACAGCTACCTACACTGCCTCAATCATGGCAAAACTCAATATTATTGAAACTGTTCAAGCCTCGAAGAACAAAAAAGCAGCCACTAAGAAAGCATGCAAAATCAAACAGTTTGACTACAAGTTTGAAGAGTCCGAGGCAAATTATATCCAGTTCTTGAACAAACTGCATGATAATTCGGTTTATGATCTGCACTAATTATTACCTCAGAGTCGGCAAAGCTTGCGACATTGAAGATTGTCACAAATTCATACCTCATATCAAGAGCATCATCAAGAGTAGGCCAAGCAAGACCATCAATGTTGTGGTTGAGCTGTCCCATCTCGAGAAGCACATCAAGGTATGTTTGGATAATTTATTAGCTTGCAGACTTTCATATCACATCACGCAGAAGAAGTCGAGAGAAGATGATGATTCAGCAACCAGTGGGGATGAAGAAGACAACAGATTTACAGTACATGATGCTCGTAGTGTTTGAAGGTTCAGTTGCTACAACTGCAAAAGACCGCAACCCAACTGAACTGCAACTGATAGCAACTGGACTTTAAGTTCAGTTGGAGCAAATCGGAAGAGCAAAGACTGCAGTTCAGTTGCGGTTTTTTGCAGTTGTGCAACCAGTTGCAACCGGTTGTGGCTGTGCACTATATGCACCATATATCCACGTGTTTTCCCGTCATTTTGAGCCTTGGAACATCTAAATCTGGCCAGAATTGGTGGAGTTATAGCCAATATAGTATTTGCTGATGCTCAAACTGATGACAACATTAAAACCTCAGTAACTCTGTCAATTCTTATCCGATTTTGATGAACCAGGACTCATTTTGAAGCCCCGAAGCATCCGGATCTGCCGGAGCGGTGGCCGGGCCGGCGTGCGGTCGCAACCGGTTGCACAACCGGTCACAACTGCAAAAGACCGGTTTTTACCAGTTCAGTTGCAGTTGCAGCTGTTTCGTTGATCTCAGCAACTGGTTGCAGTTCAGTCTTTCCAGATTTGGGTCAAAAGACCGAACCGAACCGGACTTTCGAACACTAGATGCTCGCCTCCTGCCAAGGCTCTGAGTAACTTACATGCACATATAATGAAGGAGAATGGGCTTACCAAGCATGCTCAGGACTTAGCACGGTGTCAGGACTCCTTGAGAAGAAGTATCAGAACGATCACAATGGGGAATATATATACATCAACTCAGAACCTGGAGGCACGAGAGAATCATTCCCCCTCACACCTTTTATGATGATGCAGTGGGCTTGAGGAATAGTGTGCATTTACTTTTTTTTTTGTAACTAGTGCTGTCTAATTGCGCGCTCAAGCATGATGGCTTGGCGACGGTCACTCAACCTCCTCAACTCCCAGCTTTCGATCTGATAAACCACCAGACAAGAATATGCCAATATTCGACTTCGACATCAACTGCCAACTTCTCGCTTACCGTAACATCGGACATCGCTCATATGGCCTCAATAGTGAAGGATCTCTTTGCCTTCGCACGACCAGCTGCAACTCCGGACCCACCAACATCATCCAGGAAACTCTCAACCCTATCTCTGCCCCACACTCGACCCTGCGACACTCGGACTGCACACTCATGCTTCCTCAAATATGCAGAGGACACTCTTGAAATCGATGATGCCACTAGTTACGAGGCCAACTTCAAGGCGAAAGGATATGGTCCAGACATCCTCCATCTTGTCGACGACTCAGCATTGCTGGGCATGGGCCTGGTGGAGGGCGACTGAAGAGAACAGAAAAGGCTATGGCTGCGAGAGCCCGAGCAGGGAAGGCGAAGAAAAAAAATACCCGAAATGGACGTCATCTGGTCAGAAAGCTCAAACTTAGAAGCTCAAATTCAATTCCGTAAATTCAGTTCAAGGCAATATATATCACATGTGTAGAAGGGTTCCCGAAAGTCTGGGGGTTGTTTCTTGGCATGTAAATTACCATATATAGGGGAGCGGCGGAATTGGCCTCTCCAAAAAATCTTAACTCAGTCATTTTTGAGAATTTTGACAATCCGTCTGAGGGATCAACTCTATCCATGAAAATATGTCTTTTGGCCAAAGGGATAAGAAAATACACATTTTTCTGAGGTGCTACTTCG